GGCCTGACTCCGGCCAAGAGCGCCGGCTGGTTCGGCTCCATGACGAGAAACTTCAGCGCCGGCGCCGGTCCCCTCCAGGGCACGCCCGATGGCGGCAGCCCGGACACCTCGCGCGGCAGCTCGGGCTGGGCATCGGCCGCCTCGACGCCGTCGCGCCCCTCGGTCGGCGGCGTGTTCCAGCGCTACGCCGAGGCGATCCAGAGCAGCGATGCGGCAGCCAACTTTTCCAAGGCCAGCACCAACTTGACTGCCAAGGCGCTCGCCAGCTTCGGTGGCGGCAGCCGTGAAACGTCTCCCGAGCCAGAGCAGCCGCCCTTCACGCCAGCAAAGATGCCCTCGCTTGGCGCGGTGGGCGCCAGCTTCTTCAAGAAGGCGCGCTCCGGAAGCGATGCCTCGAGCGCCATCATGGGCCGCGGAGGCTCTCCGCAGACGCCAGACATGGCCCGGTGGTCGCGCGACACGATGCCCGACTTCCCGCTGCCGGATGTGTCCAACAGCCCCGCCGGCCGCACCGAGTATACTGACTCCATGGGCAAGCGGATGAGCCTGGCCTACAGCCACGCCAACGGCAGGCACAGGGGGATCGGCTCGCCTACCCTCAGCGACCCCAACAGCGAGGGCGGGTTTGGATCGCTGCCTTTGCCCAGCCTGCGTGCCGCCGCCAAGCTCGGCATTCTGCCCCGGCAGCGCACTGAGAGCCCCGCGGGAAGCGTGCGCGGCGCGGGTCCCAAGCCGCTGCTGTTGCGCCAGTCGGCGAGGCCCCCGCGCGAAGGCAGCAGCAGCGGTACCCACAACCTCGACGACGAGCCTAGCCGCAAGGTCTCGACCGGCCCGCTAGCCCACGCTGCCAACGGCTCGCGGTCGACCAGCCGGACGGGAAGGGACAGCAGCATGGCCGGCTCGCTCAGCGGTCGCAGCTCGACCACGCCCTCGGAGACGGGGAGCGGCCACAGCGGCGGCATCGACTCGCCCAACACGAGCCTGGCAAGCCATGCCGTCGGCCAGCTGTCATCTCTGTCGAGCCTCAACGGAACGAGTGCCGCCGCCATCGTGCCAATCATCCCGCCGGAGCTGGCCGCCGTCAGCCCGCTCAGCTCCATGTCGGGCCCCGTCGGCCTGATGGGTAGCGCTGACGGTACCGTGTCGGCTGGAGCCTTTGCCAAAGTGCGGGCCGCCGCCGCAGGAGATGCTTCGGCGACGACAACCACCGGCGGCGGCAGTGCGGCCGCTGCGGCGGAACACAGGCCCAAGTTTGGCGAAGTATCGAGCTCGTCCGACGTCCCGCTCGTCTCGGGCGGCGGCGCCAGCGGCATCGGATCAGGCTCCACCATCACCCGGCCACGGCCCGCCGCCGCCGCCAGCCACCGCAAGCGTGGCAGCTCGTCAACCATCGGCTCCACTTCGAATTCGGTCTCGGGCTCGATCAAGAGCAGCAGGGCCACCAGCGCTGCGTTCAGCACGTCGTCGGCCGCCGCAGAGATCCTGGCAGAGCCCGAGTCGTGGGTCAGCGGAGAGGGCGTTGAGCTGAGCGACAAGCCGGTGCCGGTGCCGTCGACGAGCGAGGATGCCCCGAGCGACAAGCGCACCTCGATCTTTGAGAAGCCAAGGGCGGCACCGCGGCCTCCGCCGGAGCAACCCGGCCCGGTCTTGCTCGAGTCGCAGGCCGAGGAGCCGGACGCCTTTGACGCGCCCGTCGCCTCGCCGACTCGCTATGAGCTGCACGACGAGCCCATCGGCGTGCCGACCTCGCCTCCCGACGACTCCGCCGTGGCTCCGGTCGCAAAGGCACGCATGCGGTCGAGCAGCGGCATCGTCCGCTCCAAGCGCTTTACCAAGAACCGGACCTCGACCTCGTCGTCGGTCACCGCCCAGACGACGGGGTCCATCGCACGCGACTCGACGGTAACGGCGGCCGGCCGGCGATCGTCGTCTTCGCGCATCAGCGGCCAGGCGTCAAAGCCCACGCTAGTTCTACCGACGAGCCACGGCATGCTGGACGGTGGGCTTGCCGAGGATAGAGGCATCGGGGCGACGGCAGAGGACCGACCCCCGCCTTCGCCTGGGCCTGGAGCCGGCACCAAAATCTCGACGTCGCAGCTTCTGGACCAACTCGTGTCGGAGGCGCCCGCGACGGGTCAAGAGATGCCCGCCTCGCTGCGCCGACCGGCGTCGTACGCGTCCAACGGCTCTTACGGCGGACGCTCCTCGACCGAGGGCCACGACCTGCTCAGCGACGACATGTTTGCAGCGCCGACCGCGTCGTTCGGTACCGCTCCCGACGTAGCCTACCACGAGCGACCGCATATGGACTTTCGCCGCCATGACGGCAGCGGTGACGTCGGCGGCGACGGTGAGGAGTTGGACGATGTCGAGCGGGAACGCGAAGGAAGGCGGATCAGCGTGCCGCTCTCGTCGACGGGCAGCTTTTTTGGCAACATCGACGGAGGTCTCGAGGCCATTGGATCCTCACTCGCCTTTCCCGAAAGCGACGTCGAGGACAACCTCGACGAGGACCTCATCCCGGCGCGCCGCGATGCCGTCGGCGTGCTCTGAGGTCGCTGTCCCGACTGCGGCGACAGATGCCACATATTGCACGATACCTGGAAAGATATGCATGCATGCATTCATTGCAATAACGAACCATCGAGACGTGCCGAGGCCATTGCGCCTCCCCTACCCTGCTCTACATTGCCTGCCTGCACTAAGAGGGTCGAGACCGTGCGTCGATCCCACGCGCGGCGTGCTCAAGCCGCGAGGTCCAGCGACATGGCGGTCATGAGGTCCGACCAGCTCATCGGACCCAGGGCGACGGCAAGCGACATGGCGGGCACATACTGCGGCGCGGCGATGATGAGGAGCGCGACGCCCGCAAACGTGATTCCGCGGACGACGCTGGCACGCGGCCTTCGAACCGGCTCCATGGCTGCCGCTGCAGCCACTGCAGCCACTGCTGCCACTGCTGCACCGCCTTCGTTCCCTCCTTCAATGAGGTGGAAGTGGCCGTTCCTGCGGAGGAACTGGACGAGCCGATCGTCCGGCTCTGCGCCGCCCTCGAGGAAGAGGTGGACGCCAGGCATCTCGGGCCGCAAGTACATCGACCAGAATTCTTCGATCCAGTCGGCCTGGTCGACGCGCAGTTCGGGCCCGTACCGGAGGATGACGTTGAATGCCCGGCCGTTGCGGTTCCGCATCGCCTGGATGAAGTCGCGCAGCAGGTCGTAGACTACGGATGTCTGCTGTTCCTCGGCTAGCCGGTTTCCGTCAAGGCGGACGGTGACGGTGACGAGGTTGGGCAGCCGTTGCGGCGCCAGGATGTGAGCCTCGTGGAGCAGGACCAGGTCCTCGAGGCGGAACGAGAGGTGCCGGAGCTGGCCATCGCAGCCTTCGAAGATCGCCTCGACGATCTGGGCCACGAGCTCCGTGTACCTGCCGATGTCGAGCTCGCGCACCTGGTGGTTGTGGTGTAGCTGCGCCTGGATGTTGCGCGGCATCGGCGGTGCGCCATCGCGCCCGGCGCGCAGCTGCGTCGTGCGGATATCGACGCGGACGTTGACCGCTTGCACGCCGCGCATCCTTCGGGCCGCCATCTCGACGTCGTCCCAGCCGCCGACGTCCGGGCCGATGCGGAACCACTGGTTGGCCCAGAACAGGCGGCGGTTGCGCGCATCGCCGAGCTCGCGGTTGACCAGCATGGCGTTGCGCGCGTCTCGCACGTTGGCGGCGTCGTGG